GCTGCCCCTCAGAGCGAGAGCTTACCCGCCGCTTCAGCGCCAGAGCCTCCAGCTGCAGCTGGGCCTGCTCCGCGATCGGCCCCACCTCAATCGCCTCCGTACTCACCACTCGGGCGGGGTGAGGCGCGCTTCGGGCCGTGGAGGCCCAAGCAAGGGGTAGCCGTGCGAACACAATGCCGATGCTGACGAAGAGGATGCCCCAAAGCAGCGAGCCCAGCCAGGTTGCGCCGTTCGCCTCCTGCCTGATCATGCTACCGCAGCTGACGGTGGGGCAGCTCGAGCAATCACAATTGACCACAAGCCGACAATCAGGGCACGGGACACGGTTGGCCCAGGTGAGGACGGCCGCTGAGGCGGAAGTGATCAGAGAATTAGCGGCTCCCTCAAAGAGCACCTCAGCCCCGCCCAAGATGGGCATTGGGGGGAAAGAGCTTGAGCCAGAAACCGAATTACGGCACACTCGTCAGCTGGCTTTTGCTTCTACTTTGAAAAGATGACATATGTATCTATGTATGTATGTATGTATGTATGTATGTATGTCTGTCTGTATGTATGTATGTATGTATGAATGTATGTGTGAGCGTATTCGCATATGTATGTTAGTATTGCTGTATGCACATATACGTGTATGTATGTGTGTAGGTATGTGTATATGTATGTATGGATGGATGTATGTATGTATGTCTGTTTGTCTGTCTGTCTGTATGTATGTATGTTTGTTTGTATGAATGTATGTATATAACTATAAATATGTGTGTGTGCGTCTCTCCCGTAGCCGCGCGAAGCAACGACCGCCGACCCGCGCCGAATGTTATTGGGTCACGAGGCGTGATCCGCGGGCCTCCTCTCGGGCCCCCAGGCGCATGAGGTAATGGCCGCGGGCCCATGCCCTCGGGCCACGAGGCGCGATCCGCGGGCTTCATCTCGGGACCCCAGGCGCATGATGGAATGACGGCCGACCCGCGCCGCATGCTCTGAGGTCGCGAGGCGTGATCCGCGGGCTCATCTCGGGCGCCCCAGGCGTTGCAATAATCGCCGACCCGCGCCGAACGCTCCCGGGTCGCGCGGCGCGATCCGCGGGCCTCCTCTCGGGCCTCCAAGTGCACGAGGCAACGACCGCCGACCCGCGCCGAATGCTCTTGGGTCACGAGGCGAGATCCGCGGGCCTCTTCGGGCCCCCAGGCGCATGAGGTATGACATATTTCGCGCGCAAACTATCGATGCTGTGCATAGGTACGGACACACCCGCGATTCATAAGAGTCGCGCGCACCTGCGCGGTATTGGCATGATAATGCATGCGCATGTGCAAATTAAGAATGGTAAGACAATTCACGTTTAGTGGTATCTGCGCAGGTATGCATATTAGAGTTGCGCGTATATCGACGCACGCCTGCACGTCTACATGCGCGCGCACGCTTGTGCAGTGCGCGAAATTTGATTGTCATCGCCAATCCCAGTCGCCGCCGCCGCGGCGCTCAAACGCCGACGGGGCCGCGACCTGAAAACCTGGGACTAAGCTTCGGCCGGGCTCTCCCGGGGCGCCGGCGCCGGGGTGAAACGGAAGGATCACGTGGGGCCCCGCTGACCCGGGGGTCTCAGGGATAATTCCCCCGCGCCGCTAAGCACCTCGCCGAGAGCCCCGGGGTGCCAGGATCGCCCCGCCCTGGCCCCGGTGCCTCACTGTATCCCCCCGACGGACGGGGCGAGAAGCAACCGGCGTCGGACGACCCATCCGTTCCCCCCCTCAAGAGGTAGCGCGCCGTCCGTTCGCCGGGGCGCTTCCGCTACGGAATGCGCCTCCGGCTGCAGGGGGGGGCCATTCAAATTCCATCAGCGCCCCTTTCAGCCGACCCGAGGGCGCCGACAGCCGCTCCCCCACGGACGGATGAAACAAACGTCGCCGCGAGCAGTCCACCTCTCGTAACGGTGGCCTCGGAAGCGCCCGGCGATTGCCCTGGCGCAGTGACTCTCCCCGCCAGAGTGGGGGGCCATATCGGGGCCCCGAGAGGCGCGCAGGCAGCCCAAGGGCGCGCGCCGCCGCCCCCCTTACAGAGATGGAGCCGAAAGCGATGCCTTTCGCCCCCCTCTCGAAATGACGGCTTCAGGAGCGACGGGCGACAGCGCCGACGCTGCCACTCTCCCCCGCCAGGCCGCGGCGCCAGACCCGAGCCCCGAGGGGCGTTCAGGAATGTCGGGCCGGTGAGACGGACGGCACAGGCAGGTGCTCCGGCGGCAGCCGCCGCGCGGGAGACGGCGCTCGGACTCCCCCCGGCCGCGCCCAGGAGCACGGGCAGGGCGGTCCTCCTCTCGCCGCAGCGCCGCGCAGCGAGAGCTCCCCTGGGGCGCCTGACTCGCCCCGCCCGACGACGGCCCCCTCGAGTTGTCCATCGACTGCGCGCGTCGCCGAGAGCTCTCCCGGGGTGCCCGAATCGCCCAGACAGGCCGCGGCCACCGCGCGCCGCCCCCCCAGCGGAGGAGATGACAGACAAAGAAGCGCGGCCGTGGGGGCCGTCAGCACACCCCCAACTCAGGCGTTATCTTCCCAAGGGGGCCCTCTCCACGCCGCTGCGCCGCCTCGCCGAGAGCTCTCCCGGGGCGCCCGACTCGCCCGGGTCAGCGATGGCGGCCTCGCTAAGTTGCCCCCCGGTTGGGAAGAAGCATCTTCACAAGAGGGTCGGGGGCCCTGGAGACGGGAAGCAGAAGAAGTTTTGCGGCGAAGACCACCAACGACCCCACGGCCACGAGCCCCTCTGGCGGATGGGGCGGGGAGCAGGCGTTGGGCACGGGGGCCGCCTACCACCCCCCAGCCACGGCCGCCTGCATCGATGCGAAACAACGCTGCCCCCACGGCGGACAAACGCACCGCGTGCCAGGACCACCCCTACCAGAACTGCATCGCCACGGGTCTGGCAGTCGACCCGGCCCTCTCCCTCCACGGTCCCGCTGGGCCCAGGAAGGGCGCGTGCCTGCCGTCCGACTCTTGTTCGACGACGCCTCGGCTAGGGCGCGCGGTGGAACTAGGTTTGCCGGGGCGCAAGGATAAGGTTTTCGTCGCCGCGGAAGGATTGTAGAACGGAGGGGCACCACCCCGGGCACCACAAGCGTCCCTAGTCGCCACGGCTGGAAACTGGCACCCCAGTGCACCGTCTCACGCATGTGGATCGCATGCCGCTGCCCAGACGGGGCGGCGCCTGGCGCCCCACCTTGCGTACTGCCGAACCTGCGCTGGCCCGGCCGCCAGGCAGCGCCGGCGGGCATTGCGACTGGCCCCCCCCCTTCCTCGGTCAGTTCGCCCCACCCCCCCGTCCCTGCGGCGATGAATGCTGGCAGCTCGAAGGCCGAGGATTGCCACGGCACCCCCCAGGGCGGGGAGAGCGCCACCCCTGTCTCAGCTGTCCTCTGCCACGCCCCCCTCAATGCCAACGGGGCCCTGCCGCCACAACCAAAGACATACAGCGAGCTGGCGGCGGACCCACTGGGCCAAGTATTGCTCTCAACGCGGTGGGGGCAACAGGGACCCCAGCCGGCACGACGCCGCTTTGCTTCGCAGCTTCCTCCGCTCCCTGGCCTCGTCGCCTCCCTGATTCCCTGCGGCTGCACTGAGGGGCCACAGCAGGCCTTCCATGCGCCGTGGCGCTTCTGCGACGGAGCGCGCCCCTGGCCGCAAGGAGTGCTCCGTAACCGTCATTACACCTATTCGGTGTCCCCCCCTTTTTGCCTGGTTTTCAAGCCTCACATTCATCCGCCAGTAACTGGTGTGCTGGGCGCTGCCGCTCTTTTGCGGCGCCTTGCCCCGCCGTCTCGGTGCACGTCCCGCTCAGGTGGCCTCCCTGGGCCATGTCGCTCCCCCTGTTGGCGTGGTCCTTTCCTTCCGCTCCGCCCGCCTTCCCTGTTGCCCCCGACTCCGTGCCGCACCCCGCAGTGGCTCCGATTCTGGGTTACCATTCTCCGTCGCTCGCTGGGTTACGGCGTCGCCTGTTGGGGCACCCTTGTGCCTGCCCGCCTTCCGCCTCTCGCCCCTTGCCGCGCCTCGTAGGCCCCCTGGCCTCGGTGCTCTCCCGCCCGTTGGTCCGCCGCGCCTCGTAGGCCCCAAGGTCTCGACGCTTTGGCTCTTCCCCCGGACCGCGCCTATCGGTTCGCTGGGTCGAGTCTCTGATTCGCTCGTGTTGTTCCCCCACCAGCCGCCCAGTCTGCTCTGCTGCGCTCCCTCTCAGCTTCAGCTCAATGCCGCGCTGGCTCCCCCCCCTCGGCGCTCTCCCTGCCGCAGTCGGTGACTCTGAGTGGGCCCTGCCTCCTCTCCTCCTGTCGCGCCGGGGCTCCTCCTCTTCCTCCGCGCATGGCGGCCTTAATTTGCATACAGCGTGTCCCTTGTTGCCCATCCGCCGGAGCAGTCGCCCTCTGCCCAGCCGCCGACGCAAATGTGAGCAAGACTGAATGCCAGTTGATCTGAATCTGAGTCAGTCGGAATTTGCTTGTTTGCGTGAATCAAGGCATGAGTGATGTGACTGTAATGAAAGGGTGGAAGGAGGCGGGCGCGAGTGAGTGAGGAAGCGGAAGCGTCCAACTATCAACAACAACCCTACTTAGCACATGGGGAAATATGGAAATATGCGCCGCGCCAAGAAATGTGAGCGCCGCTTTCACGCGAAATCTGTGCGGCGCTGGTGCGAGATCCACTTTTCGCCCGCTCGCGCGCGACACTGCTGCCGACGAATTGGCAGGCGACCAATGTGCGCCGCACCCAAGCGGGAGCTGAACTCTCAAAAAAAATGAGCGCCGCGTCAAAGCGAGAATGACATGTCGCCATTTCGAACCCGATGTGCGCCGCGCCCCCTCATGCCATGCATTTGACACACCGGAAAAAACTGTAGCTGTGGGTCGAGACCACGCAAAATCCTGCTGTGCAGAGTCCTGGCCTCTGGGGCGACTGAGGCTGATTTGTGGACGAGATTCGGGGGGGGGTCGAAAGCAGAGGCGGGCGGATCGCAACGCCGGCGGCCTTTCCGTACGGCTCCGTCTCGGCGTGAACGTCGCTCCTGTTGGCAACCGCCTACCTTTTGTCACTCTCGCCATGCCTCGCTCGCTCACGCTCCCCGCTCCCTCACTTGGCATAACTCCGCAAGGCGGCCCCACCTCTCTCCGACTCGTTGCATCTGCGGAAGGCCGTGATAGTCCCATCGCGCCGCCATCATGGTCGAATCCAAATCGAATCCACGTAGATACCGCGCCGAATCTGCGTCGAACCCGCGTCGGAGACCGCGCCAAATGCCAGATACCGCGTAGGATGCAAGAAAGGACCGCCCTTCACAAGATAGATCAGGCCCCTGGGAGTGAAACACAAACTATCATAAGTGCGACAGCGCGAGGCGGACTGCGCTGCTGGCTTCCAGAAATGTTGGATGATCCCTTTATAGACTTCAGGGCACTGGGAAACCGCAGCGGACAAGACGTCGAACTACAGAGACAAAAAACGCACGGTATATAATCCGCCGAGCCCCGTTTGACAGGGGAGATGATTTGCTGTCCCCCATCCCTCCCTCTTTCCCCCTCCCCCAGGGGACTGAAATCCGATGACACGGCGGGGGACGAGCTAGCCAACGCAACCCGGGGGCCTCGGGAGCTTCCAGATCTACACTCCATGGGCTCTCAGCTGGCTCAAGCCTGGCTCCAACATGCCGAGAAGCTTCAAAGACAACCAAGATGGCTCCAAGACTGCCCAAGAGGCCTCAAAGACGCCCCAAGAAGGCTCCAAGATGACCCCCGAGAGGGTCCCAAGAAGCAAGACTCGCCCAAACCCAAATGGGAAATGCATAGCTTGAGCATGTTCGCATGTTTGATCTTATCAACATGCAAGACGGCTCAAGAGGCCCCCAAGATCGTTCCACGACGGTCCAAGAGGTCCCAGGACGGCCGAAAAGCGTCCTGAAACGGCCCAAGAGGCTTCCAGGACGGCCCAAGAGACCCCCAACAGGGCCTCAAGAGGGGCCCAAGAGAGGTTCCTTGAACTGACACTCCGAGACCTCCGCTCCAAGAGGACCCCCGAGACCGACAGCAGGCGCCCAAGAAACTTCGAAGAAGCCCGAAGAGGCCCCAAAGAAGCCCTAAATAATCGCCCAAAAGGTCTCCAAGAGGCCCCAAAAAGGCCTCACACGTGGACTTCATCCGTCTTCTGGGGGTCGGCGGTCGGCGGAATGGCGCAAGCCTCTGGAATTCACATCCGAGGGTGACATGCTGAGCGGCAGCGTGCTTCGGCGAACGCCTCAATGCAACGCACTCAATTTACCCACCTACCCCAGAATAGCTACATCTCGCTTCATGCTGCACTATTATGTTTCCCACCTGACCCCCCCTGGAGTAGCACAAATCTGACAACCCTCACTCTGGGGCTCGAAATTTACCTCGCGAAGGGCCCAACCATATGCAGTTGTGAGAACCGCAACTGTAAATACCGTCTTCGGTGGAGCGCCCTGTGGGACCACGAAACGTGTATGGGGTGTGCCGACATGGGTGGTGTTGGTCGTGGTGGAGGTGGTGATGGTGGTGGTGGTGGTGATGGTGGTGATGGTGGTGATTGTGGTGATGGTGGTGTGGTGTGGTGTGGTGTGGTGTGGTGTGGTGTGGTGTGGGGTAGTGTCGTGTAGTGTGGTGGGTGTGGTGTGGTGTGGTGTGGTGTGGTGTGGTGTGGTGTGGTGTGGTGTGGTGTGGTGTGGTGTGGTGTGGTGTGGGGTGTGGTGTGGTGTGTGGTGTGTGGAGTATGGTGTGTGGTGTGTGGTGCGTGGTGCGTGGTGTGGTGTGGTGTGGTGTGTGGTGTGTGGTGTGTGGCGTGAGGTGTGTGGTGTGTGGTGTGGTTTGTGGTGTGTGGTGTGGTTTGTGGTGTGTGGTCAGTGGTGTGGTGTGTGGTGTGTGGTGAGTGGTCTGTGGCTTGTGGTCTGTGGTGTGTGGTTTGTGGTCTGTGGTGTGTGGTGCGTGGTGTGTGGTGTGCGGTGTGTGTGTGGGTGTGGGTGTGGGTCTGCGTGTGCGTGTGCGTGTCTGTGTGCGTGTTGTGTGTTGCGTGTGTGGTGTGTGTGTTGTGTGCTGTGTGTGTTGGGTGTGTTGTAGATGTGTTGTGTGCGTGTGTGTGTGTGTGCGTGTGTGTGCGTGTGTTGCGGGTGCTGTGAGTGTTGCATGTGTGCGTGCGCGCGTGCGTGTGTGCGCGTGTGTGTGTGTGTGTGTATGGGTGTGTGTGTGTGTGTGTGTGTGTGTTGGGGGGGCGTGCATGCGTGTGTGCGTGCGTGTGTGCGATTGTGTGTGGTTGTGTGTGTGCGCGCGTGTGAGTGTGTGTGCGTGTGCGTGAGCATGTGTGTGTGTGTGCGTGTGCGTGTGCGTGTGCGTGTGCCCGTGCGTGGGTGTGGGTGTGGGTGTGGGTGTGAATGTGTGTGTGAGCGTGTGTGTGTATGTGTGTGTGTGTGTGCGTGGGTGTGGGCATGGACGTGGGCGTGGGCGTGGGCGTGGGTGTGGGTGTGAGTGTGGGTGTGGGTGTGAGTGTGGGTGTGGGTGTGGGTGTAGGTGTGTGTGTAGGTGTGTGTGTGTGTGTGTGTGTGTGTGTGTGTGTGTGTGTGTGTGTGTGTGTGTGTGTGTGTGTGTGTGTGTGTGTGTGTGTGTGTGTGTGTGTGTGTGTGTGTGGGGGGGGGGGAGGGGGGTGGGGGGGGGGCGTGGGTGCAGGTGTGGTGCAGGTGTAGGTGTAGGTGTAGGTGCGTGTATGTGTGGGTGTGGGTGTGTGTGTGTGGCTGTGGGCGTGTGTGTGTGTGTGTGTGTGTTTGTGTGTGCGCGTGGTGTGTGTGTGTGTAGTGGTGGGTGGGGGGGGGCATGCTGGCCCTGCCACTGTGGCCTTCGGTTGAGCCCCCCATATGGGGGCCACGCGACGTGTGAGGGGTGCTGACATGAGTGGTGGGGAGCTATGCGGGCCCTGCAAATGGGGCCGTCGGTGGGGCCTCTGGTGGGACCACGAAGCGTGTGAGGTGTGTGTGCCCACGTGGGTGGGGGGAAGGTAGGCAAGCCCTGCAGCTGAGGCCCCACGTGGGGCCCCTTATGGGGCCACGAACCATGCGATGGGGAGTGCCGAAATTTTCGGTTGGGAAGTGTGCGGGCCCTGCCACTGGAGCCTTCGGTGGGGCCTCATATGGGGCAACCTGCAACTGGGGCCGTCGGTGGAGCCCCCGATGGAGCCACGAAGCGTGTGAGGGGTGTGCTGACATGGGTGATGGGGGGGGGCATGCGGGTCCTGCCATTGGGGCCTTCGGTGGAGCTCCTTATGGTGCAACGAAGCATGTGAGGGGCGTGCCGAAATGTTGGGTTGGGAAGCGCGCGGGCCCTGACAATGGAGTTCGATGGAGCCATATGGGGCCACGAAGCGTGCGATTGGAACCGGGAATGGGTCTGGCGGGCGCGTGCGGGCGGTGGCCTTGAGGCCTTCGGTTGAGTCCCCGATGGGGCCACGTAGCGTGTGAAGGGTGTACCGACATTGGTGTGGCGGACGCACGCGGGCGGTGGCGGTGGGGCCTTCGGTGGAGCTCCCTATGATGCCATCAAACGAAAAAAGGGGTGTGCCGAAATTGGTGTGGCGGGAGCATGCGGGCGCTGGCACTGGGACCTTCGGCGGAGCTCCATATGGGGCCACGAAGCGTGTGGGGTGTGTGTCGACATGGGTGTGGCGGACGCACGCGGGCGGTGGCAGTGGGACCTTCGGTGGAGCTCCCTATGGGACCACGAAGCGCTGTGCTGGGAGTGCCGACATGGGTGTGGCGGACGCACGCGGGCGGTGGCACTGGAGATTTCGGTGGAATTCCCGTTCGGGCCACGGAACGTGTGAGCGGTGTGCCGACATGTTTGTGGCAGGCGCATGCGGGCGGTGGCACGGCTCCCAATGGGGCCACGAAGCGTGTCCAAAGAGAGCTCCAAGGCGGCCCCGAGAGGCCCCCAAGACGGCCTCCGAAGGTGCCACCAAATGGCGAAAGAGCCCTCAAGAGGCTCTGAAGAGGCCCCAAGAGGCTCCAAAGATGCCCCCAAAGGGCCCCCGGGGACCCCCAAGAGGCCTTCAAAAGACATCCAAAAGGTCCCCTGACGGCCCTAAGAAACCACCAAGAGGCCCGTGCAATTGTATACTACTGGCGCGCTGTTGCAATGCACATCGGGATTTGGACTTGGCGTTGACTTGTGTTGACTTTTTGGCGGCGGCGTCGCAAAGCTCAAACGCGTGCACAAAGAAACCGGGGCGCGGAAGCCACTTATTCGCCAGAGCGTGCAGTAGACGAGGAACGGAGAATGAGGCGGCCGCGGAAGCAGAGGCGGACAGAACGCATTAAAAAACAAAGATATCGGCCTCTGGGGCTCCAAGAGGGCCTCATGACGGCAAACACTGCTGCAAGGCAGCCCGACATGGCCCCAAGACGACTCCAGGCCTCAAGACGAGCCGCTCCCAGCTCATACGTTAACCTTGCCCCTCCGTCCACCCTCTGCGGGTGCGACTCGTGACGTGACCGGCCCCCTCCCCCCCCTCCCCTGGTAACGCCCGTACCGCCAGGGAATCGACAAGTTGCCTCCAATAGGCCCCCGAGAGGCTCCAATAGGCCCTAAAGAGGCCACAGTAGGCCAAGGGATCCAACAAATTGCCTCCAGTAGGCCCCCAAGAGGTCCCCAAGAAACTTCCAGAAAACTCCAAGGAAATCCCAAACGCCCGTGTTCTCCGCAGTCCAGACGTGCACCCCGCGAAGCCAAAGGAAAATCAAGATTACACCTGAGAAAACCACAATCAGTGGATGATTTGGAAATTAGTAATATGGATCTTGAGATCGATTGTGAGATCGATAGTGTAATCGATAACGAAGACGATTGTAAGGTCGATCGTGAGACCGAGAGTGAAATCGATTCAATGAGATCGATAAGGAGATCGATCGCGAGATCGCTTGTGAGATCGATTATGAGATCGATTGTGAGATCGATGGTGAGATCGATAGAGAAGTGCGAAATGAGATCGATGCTGAGACCGATCGATGAGTAGATCGACCAAGAACCCCGGAACCTGGGAACCTCGCCGCCCACCGAAATCGGCACAGGAACCGGGAACCCGGGAACCCGGAACCGGGAACCCGGGAACCCAGCGTGCGACCACAATCGGCGGGAAACTTTCGTCAAATTCTTCAACCTCCGGTCGGACCCCTTCAGTGCAAGCACTGATTGGGGAACGATAAGTCAAGGAGTGCGAATGGGAAACGAGAAAACAATACGACGCGGTGGAATGTTGAACAGGTAGAGCGCATGCTGAGATGAGACGGCCAACAGGACATGATGACGGTACAAAATCCCGTTGCATGACCCAACGTGCATTGCACGAACGCATAACTGGTGGCAGTGCCGCTGAAACTATGGGACGGCGGCGGTACCGATGAGCCAAGACAACGCACTAATTATGGTACCCAACATGCCAACTGCGGCGCAAACGTGCGAAGACCACACATGACATGATTGTGCCACTGTGGCTTTGCTCGCGATCGTAAATGAGCACACCTTTGCAGCAACCAGTGGTCATGAAACGACGCTGTGTGTTGCTGCCAGTGCGTCGATGGTGGGTGGTATTGGGAAGAATACTATTTCAATCCCACCAGCCCACTGGGCGTGAGTTGTCTAGCGAGCTCGTTCTGCTAACTCCCATTTCCCCTTTGGGAAGGGGGGTCCCCCTCCCCCTCCCCCCCTGGATTTGGACGGGGGGGGACCGCGAGGGGTTGGAGTGTCAAGATGACTCCAGGTGGCTTCAAGAGGGCCCCAGGGAGCTCAAGATGGCCTCCAAGATTGCTCAAGATAGCCCACGATGGTTCAAGATAGCCTCCAGCATGCCTCCAAGAGCCCTCAAGCCAGCCCCAGGACGGCTCCAAGCGCCCTCCGAGCCTCCCAAGGAGGCCCCAGAAGCCGAAACCCTTCGAACCCATCATGATATTTCAAAAGTGTTGGCCTTGTCACCTTTTCGCTTCGGATGGGTTCTCGAGGTCTCAAAATGGCGCCAAGATGGCCAAATACAGCCTCCAGATGGGCACAATAGAGGGCCAAAACGGTCCCAAGAGCACTCAAGAGCGCCTCAAGAGCGGCCCAGGAGGGCTTCAAGACAACAATGTTCGAGCTCAGGCGATGGGGCCATACCTGAGAACCCTCCTATACTTGACCGATGGCCTCCAAGATGGCCCCAAGCGGGAGGGCCCCAAGAGAGCGACAAGAGGGCCCCGAGAGGGCCACAAGAGAGCCCCCAAGGCCTCCACAACTGGCCCCAGATGATCCAAAGAAGATGCCAACAAGCTCTCATATCGAAGGGACTGCGACTGCACATATGGTTGACTCATGGGCCTACTCGGGCTGATCCCGATATTTTGTTGGACGGCTGCCCCCCTCTTTGTTCCACTGCTTGCTCCCACGCTTTCCTGATCAATGCGACTCGCCTGGGCGTTATTGTTGCTGGATGGGCTGTTGGGGACACTTTTTTTGGTCGCAGCCGCAGGCGAGAGCAAGCGGCGAGTCGTAAGTCCGGGGCGCGGGCCTACGAATTAAAACAGGAGCAAGCTAGAGCGGCGTAACCTAACAACTAGCTGCCTAAGCGTCGCCGCAGGTAGGCTGCAAGCTGCACCGAGTGTGGATGCCAGGGCCAGGGGCAGAAAGCGTCCACACAGCGTCAACGCAAGCACATGTCCAAGCCGAGCCACGCATAGGTCAGGCCTGGGAGCGACTTCAAGTGGACTAACACACTGTTGGGGACACGCGAAGCGTCAGGAACAAATACAAGCTTCCCTTGAAGGGGCCGGCTCCTGGCCCCAAAGGCAACCAGATGGGAATGGACTACATGAAACTCTCGCGCCAGACCCAGGGGCTTCCCAGAATGTCGGCTCCACTGCCAAGTCAAGGCTCCAGAAACCCAAACTGACCCTTAGAAAGATGTGCTCACACCGCAAGCCGTCAAAACAGGTCCGCCAAGTTGCAACCCATGGTGACACAATTATGAAACCGCAGAAGCGTTCCTTGTCGCTCGCCTTTGACGGACACCACAGTGAGAACACGATGCACGGCAGTCGACGGACACAGGGCACAGCGCAGCCAGAAGGTCGTTGAGCAGACCGACCAAGACGAACGTGCAGCTAATATTTGACGCCCTTCTTCCATGATCCACTTCTGAGCCAGGGGGGGGTAAATGGGAACGCTACATATCTGGTTCGGGTTCGACAGTGCCCCTCCCTGGAATAATGCAAGGGAAATCGCACCATCGCATGTACGCCTCATCTCAATCACCGGGTGGAATGTCAAATCGGAAGTTCCCATGTACCCCCCCCGGGCCCTAGTCTTCACCAACTTGACCGAGAGCCGCCCGTTCCGCACCTTGTGAGAAGGAAATCTGAAACAGTATTTGGGGAGAGCGGGCGCCACCGATTCCAAGCCGAGAACTGCCCGAGTCCCCTTCCGATGTACGAAACCTAAACAGCCTGGCCTCGTACCCCCAGTCGACAGTGTGCTGGGTTCAACGCCTTATTGTACACTGGGCAGTCGCCTTTTGCATCGACTCCCCACTTCCCACTGGTAGAATCGTCCACAGGGACTGTAGGCATTCAGCGCCTTGCCGAACTACCTCCCCCCTTACCCCAAGTGGTGGTTTTCCGTGTTCAAATACCGCGAGCCCTCATGGTCTTAAGTGGCGGCGATTCAATGCTCAATCCCAGTCCAGCACGGCTACCACCTGCACAGTTGCGTAGCGCGAAAACAAAAACGAGAGCGGCTAAACGAGGCAATTGAGCATCTCCCTCTCCCGCGCCCCGGAGGTGCCCTGCCAAAGCGCGAGGAGGTCACCAGTTGAGGAAAAAGATTGGTGCTCGGTAGCCTAAAGCTACCGAACCAGTAAGGTTGTATAGCTAAGCTTTACAGCCGCAAGGAGGACCGACCAGGGCGAACATTGACTACGACATCATTCGACAACCTGGCGAGAATGCCAACACTTCGCACGCACAGGGAGAACAACACAATGACATCCCTGGATAAGATAGATGCTCTGGCCGTGAAGTCTGAGTGTCTGATGCTTTAGATATGCACTGTGATGCAAGGGTACTTTTCCTTGCTCAACACGTCCCCTCTCCAAGCGTGCGGTGGTAATGGAGGAGAGGAGTGGGCAAAGGGAATGATTACAATTTACGAGGGCATACGTTCTGTAACCGTCCCGGACCTTGTGCCTGGTCATGGACGGCTCGACGTGGGCGAACAGGGGCGAGAGAGTCAAGCGCCACTCAGCCAGGGACTCTGACGCTCTGTCGCTCACTGGTACATCGCGCAGCCTGATCTCCAGTGAGGACGCTTTCGATTCCACCTTCGCACGGGCCAAACAGTTGAATGCGAAAACAACATGTAACCGAGGCTATGCCAAGGACCCAAATCCCAATCTCTTGGATGACTCGAACCAGGCCCCCGCAGCACTGATCGACACACATTCCTGGTCAACTGGCAAACAGAAGGGACGAAATGGTGCGGGCGCGTGGGCCGCAAACAGTGCCTTGACTCTTTCTCTCTTCCTCTCTCTCTCTCTCTCCCCCATGTTTGTTGTTGTTATCTCTCTCTGGTTCTCTCTCTCTCTCTCTCTCTCTCTTTTTTTTTTTTTCTCTCTCTCTCTCTATACATATGTTCGATGCGTATATGTATATGTGTCATAGATGATGTGTCAGTCCTTCGATTTCCCTTTCTCTCTCTACACACACATGTACGAATGTATGTGTGTATGTATGTATGTATGTCTGTCTGTATGTATGTATGTATAGGCCCCTGCCTCCCTCTCTCTCCCGGTCGCTCTCTGTCTCTGCCTCAGACTATCTCTCCCTCTCTCTCTGGTCTCTCGCTCTCTCTCCCTCTCTCGTTCTCTCTCTCTCTCTCTCGCTCTCGGTGTGTATGTGTGCATAGGTATGCATGTTTGTGTGTACGTGTACATATGTATACATAGTATGTGCATGTCTGTATCTATATCTATATATATATACATACAAATATGCTCGACCACGCGAGCGCTTCGCGCGCGCTTAGGTTCTAGGGCAGTCCTGGCCAGCCTCACCAGATGAGAATGGACATATCCTGCAAGGGTCACCATACGGGAGCGTACTTTCTGATGGACGCTCCAGGAGTCGCTGAACAAGCAGGCCCTGAAATATCCTGCTGCTCTGAGCAGGTACATCGAGCAGCTGCCCGAAGGAAATTTTCGGGAGACTTCGGGAGGCTCTTGGCCTGTGGACCGTCGTCAGCGGTCTTGAAGATCTCCTGGGCGTCTCGAAGGCCCCTCGAACTATCCCGGAGGTGTTTCGGAGGTCCCTTTGTAGCCCTTGGGGAACACTGATACTGGGCAGCTCAAACTATCTAAGGGCAGCCAAGGTCAGTGGAAGCCGTATCGGGCGCGGTCTTGGGGATCCCTTAGGCCGCAGTGTGCTGGGAAGCGTTGAGATGTTGCACGATCTACGGTACCAGACAGATGATGCGGTTCACTCTTCTAATGGAGGCGACGTCCAGCACGACATTGCGCCCTAGGTGAGCGCGAAGGGCGATTCACCCAGTTGTTTTCTGGAAAGCGCCCAGGAAAGCTCCAGAAAGGCGCGCAAGACAACCACGTGGACGACCAAGGGCAGCCAAAGGATGGACACCCTGGACCCTCCAACATAATGGCAAACCCATGCTGGGAGTCTCTCTGAATGCTTTTGGGGGACATTCTTGGAGCGTTCTTGGGTTTTTTGGGGATGTGGTCTCTTGAGTCTTTGATGGGGGTCTCCTGGTGGCCTCTTGGGACTTTTTGCGCGCGCCTCGGGGCCTCCCCGGGGCTCTTGGCGCCTGGGCTCGACATGTCGAATGGGGTCGACATTGACAGAAATGATTTGAAGGATTTCCCTTGTTTGCCAAGTTGGGTCTCCTTCCACGTAGTGGAGCGAGGAAGGTGGGCGAGAGAGGCGGATGGAGGAAGGAATGATGAGATGAGGATGAGGGATGGAGGAGACGGAATCGCATGAGGGAGGTATAGAGAGGGAGGCGTGAAGGAGAGACGAAGAGCAGGGAGGAGGGACAATGACGCAGCGGGGAGGAGGGAGGAAAAGAGGAAAGAGAAGGATGTGGAACGGGAGACGCACAATAACCATGAGCAAGAGACAGAACAAAGATAATGGACAACGAAGGATGGGGGAAACGGATACGCTCCTTGGGGAACGGGGGGACGGATCGAACTTATAAACAAAACATTGTTTTCCCAAGTTGGCTCTGGAGGCCCCCGAGAACACCCAAGATCGCCCCAAGTGGCCTCCAGAGTCCCCCAAGAGCTCCGGGGAAACCCTCGAGACGACTAACTGATTTCAAGCATAAAAGAACATTTGAGAATTGCGTATGCACGCACATTCGCCTCCAGTGCGCTTCCGAGGCTTGCACATGCCCCCGTAAGCCGCCCAGGATGCCTCTTGGGGGCATCTTGGAAGTCTAGTGGGGCCTTAGGAGCTCTTGAGGGCCTCTCAAGGCCCGCTTCGGCGCTGAATGCCTTAGGGGCGGCTCTCGGGAGCTCGTTGGGACGGCTCTGGGGGGCTCTTTGGGGCCTCGGTGGTGCGTCTTCGGACGTGAAGAAGAACCTGTTTTGGTCTCTTGGGGCCACTTCGCGTCACCCAAGACGTCTCCTGGATCCTCTGGGAGCTCTCTTGGGGGGGGTGCGCAAGCCTCGGAAGCGTGTCGGAGGCGGATATGCGAGAAAACAGAAAAATATGGATCCCCCTCTGGTGTTTCAATGATATGGCATCTCGAGGGCCTGACCGGGGCTCTTGGGGTACTCTTGGAAGCCTCCTGGGGCGACCTTGAATGCTCTCGGTTAACTCGGGAACGTCCTGGGCGGTCTTCAGGCCCTCCTGGGGCTCTTTTGGGCGCCCGGGAGGGTGGTATCGGGGATTTGCCAAATATGGTAGCGGAGTTGGCGAAGCCCCGTGTGTGTGTGTATCTCTATATTTATACACACACACATGGGTTCCCCCCAAGGACCCTCCACTTTTTTTCACATCTCATCTTGGGCGGATGTAAGCTTGAATGGGTTGCTTCGGCGGCCGTTGCATGTCGCCACCAGAGTGCACCACTTACAGACAGTATGGCAGTTCTCTGGAGCCGAACCATCACTGATGCGACAGAGGGGAAAACGCTGCAAAGTCCAATGTTTCCAATTTTTCCAATTCTCTGAGGCCCAACCCTCGTTGATGCGGCAGAGGGGAAACGCTGCAAAATCATGTTTTCCAATTTCCCCAATTCTCTGAAGCCGAACCCTCGTTGATATGGCAGAGAGAAAACGCTGTAAAATCCAAATTTCTATGTTTTTCCCAGTCTCTGGGGCCGAACCCTCCCTGATGCGGCAGAAAGAAAACGCTGCAAAATCCAATGTTTCCAATTGTTCCACTTCTCCGGGGCCGAACAGCGTTTTATCTATGCCACATCGGCGAAAGTTCGGCCCCAAAGAATGGAAAAAAACAGCGTTTTCTTTCTGCCACGTCAACAAGGGTTCGGCCCCGGAGAATTGGAACAATCTGTAAATTTTGAAGTTACACCGTTTTCTCTTTGCCACATCAACGGGCTACGGGAAGCCTTCCGAAATTTCGGTGTGGTCGACGAACCGGGCCTGACGGTGTGGTTACAAGCAGAAGGTCAAGAACATTCCCAACCTGGAGGTTATCTTACACGTGAAGCTCAACAACACATTTTCGACCGGGCAACGGCGGAAATAGCAGCAGTATCGGCATTGGAACTGGCTTATGTCTCGGTAGCGGAAGCGATATATTTCAACGAAGATTTTCGATTCTGTTTATTTCAACACTTATACAATCGGGTTGCTGTCCGAGCAGGGGTCCGTACTAATCCGAATTCTCATGGTGCGATGCCGCCCGAACCACCACAGCCTGGGAACAACGGCCTAGCCCCAAGACTTCCAGCCGGAGTTCGGAGATTACCTGACGGTTGGGCGCATATTCGAAATATAGATCCTCAAATTGAAATCGACGTCCGCATCCGAACCCTCAAAGCAGTACCAAAATGTATACGGGAACAGTATTTACGCATACTTACGCAATGCTTGGGAACAGTGCATGGTACGACGACTGCATGGTTGGACGGAAGGGGGACTGAAGGAGATTGCATTATTGCTTGGATCCTTCTTATTCTTCTGCCCCGGATGCTCCTCCACCACACTTCCCACGGGGGGGAAGCAGGAGTCCGGGAACTCAAGCGCCGTATCACTGTTTTTGATCGTGGGGAATGGGATATTCTCTTGGAGTCCGCTCGGAAACAACAATATCAACAAGAGCACCGTCAACGACGCCGCCGAGAAAGCAGAACAACGAATGCGAATAGAACTACACTGGATCGTCAACTGGAGCATGCGACAAAGTTGGTAGAGGCAGGGGAACTTAGTCACGCAGCTCGGAGTTTAACGTCTCCAGGAATTGCGCCTGGCACAACATCGACCTTAGACCAACTTAGTGACCGACGCCACCGACCGAGAGACCCAGCAGAGCCACTCCCCGACAATCTACAAACATTTCGTCCGCATCAGCCTGTGACGTTGGATAGAAATTTATTCGCGAACGTCCTCCGGACCTCGCGCAGAGGATTGATTGCGGGCATGTGGGGTGCACGATACGAGTATTATAAATTATGCTTGGAGGATGCAACCGCGTGCGATCTATTGTGCGATGTGGCGGAAAGTATTGCCCAAGCAAATATACCATATTGTATCTCACGTGCTCTGCGGATTTCCTCGCTTACGGCGCTGAGCAAACCAGACAACAAGGTGAGGGGAATTGCTGCAGGAGATACATTACGACGGTTGGTATCTAAAACTTTGGCAAAACAATTTCAAGACGCATTGCGGCAAACGGTCGAGCCGCTCAATTTCGGTATTGCCACCCGCAGTGGTACTGATGCGGCGGTGCATTTACTGCAATATTTGACCGACGCGTATCCAGACAAAGTGATATTGAGCATTGACGGTGTAGGAGCATTTGACCACGTCAGCCGGGCCCGAATGTTCGAACAATTGATGGCTGTGCCGGGTTTGCATGGTTTGGTCCCTTTCGTGCGACAGTGGTACGACGAGCGCTCTGAATTCCGGTGGGTGGACGAAAAAGGAGACTCCCATACAATATTACAAGGAGACGGGGGTGAACAAGGGGACGCTTTAATGCCAGCATTGTTCTGTCTTGCCTTGCACCCAGCTCTTGGTGAGATTCATGCCAGGTTGCCACCAGGGACAGAAATACTTGCATATCTAGACGATGTGTATGTGGCTTGTGATCCAAATGACGCTGCGTATATCTTGCAAATGGTGCAAGAAGCATTGCAACGTATCTGCCATATTGATGTGCACGTTGGGAAACTTGCCGTATGGGGTAATACCCCGGCACATTGTCCGCCCGACTTGGAGCAGATCGCACCTGACGCGTGGAAGTGTGACGCACCGCTCCGGGAAAGGGGCATTAAGGTTCTCGGGACACCGTTTGGTAGTGAAGAATATGTACAGGCATTCGGTGAGAAAATTGCCGAAAAGAGGGCGAAGCTATTAACTTACCTACCTAAGCTCCCCTCTTTACAGATTGCTTGGCTTTTACTTTACTACTGCGCAGTACCGCGACTGAACCATCTCTTACGGAATATGCCGCCAGACAGGGTACAGATACTTGCGACCGACCACGACACTGCGATACTCGACGTACTTCGACAATTGCTGGGACTCCCTAATCGGTCGAATTGGGATGAAGTTTTACACGGAATTGGATTCGACAATTGGGTTGCGCAAGCCCGTCTGCCATTACGCTTGGGAGGGCTGGGCCTACGGAATTCTTCACGCACTGCCGCCGCAGCGTACTGGGGCAGTTGGGCGGACGTTTTGCCGAATTTGGTATCGAAGTTTCCCACTCTGGGCAAGAATATTCTCTTCCATTTTGCAGCCGACCGGGCAGGAGCGCAACAAGTCCCCCGATGTCTCGCAACAGCAGAACAGGCAGGCGCGACTTGTGACGCGCAAGGGTGGACCGAACGCCCCTCATGGGCTCACATTGCTGCTGGGGCCCGACCTCCAGAACCTGCTGTAACAGACGGGCCTCTCCTTGGGGAGTGGAAACACGGGTGGCAATTTTGCGCTTCCTCTGTCATCGAGAATGCGGCTCACAAACAATTACTGCGAGATCTAGCGTTGCCAAACCGCAGGGCCAATGCTATTTCAACAGGCAAATCGCGACTATTCTCAAGCATGGGGCCTTTCGCGTCAGGTTGGTTACTGGTGTGCCCAATTTGTGTACAACTGACGCTGACCAATGATGTTTTGCAGTGTGCATTGCGCCGACGGCTCGGCATTGGGGTTACACTTGATACGCAGGACCTGCATGGTCACGCAGTGCTTGCGACTGTCCTTGGTGGGCATACCCATGCACGCCATACCGACCTTATTGCCGCTTGGAGACAAGTATTGGTGGAAGGGGGGAGTTGCATACCAGACCGCAACATTGAGCGGGTTCTGAATACCACCCATATTCCAGTGCCCCATGGGGATATGCGCCGGATGGATATCATTGCGCCGTGCTTACATGTTGCGCACGGTTTACCACTTTTCTGTGATGTGACGGTGGTTTCGCCTATCTCGAAAAATGGTATGCCAAGATCAGGGACAAGCAATTACGGAGGTAAACTGTTGCAGCGTGCGGAAATGGAGAATGACACCATTTACCATGATGTTGTGAGTAATGGTTTAGGGGCGCTTCGTTGCTTAGGTTCTGAGGTGTACGGACGCTTTGGTACGCAAGCTGCCGAGCTCCTCCCGGCGCTTGCCACAGAACGTACTCGAGGCATTGATGCTAACCTTCGCAAGGGTTTAGCGTTGGGGCTGCTCCACAGATGGGCGGGCATCTTAGGGGTAGCTTTGCAACGGGCGGTGGCAAGGTCAATTTTACGCCCAGGAGGGGACTTGCCACACACACCACTTGAGCCGGCATGCCCACTTGCCGAGCTTGAGGTGGTGTGATCCTCCCCGTCCTCCTCCTCCTCCTCCTCCTCCTCCTCCCTCCTCCTCCTCCTCCTCCTCCCTCCTCCTCCTCCTCCTCCTCCTCCTCCTCCTCCTCCTCCCTCCTCCCTCCTCCTCCCTCCTCCTCCTCCTCCTCCTCCTCCTCTCCTCCTCCCTCCTCCTCTCCTCCTCCTCCTCCTCCTCCTCCTCCTCCTCCTCCTCCTCCTTTGACGCTGCTTAGCCGCCCCGCTGGCCCTCGTTTTAAACGGTTTTCGGGCCTTTGATGATCTCTTGTTTCACCCCGTTGTCACCGTCGTCTCCGCCGCTGCCTTGCGGGGGACAAAAATAATAATAATAAAAAACAGCATTTCCCATTAGTTCATCCAGAAACGATGCCTTTGGTTCATGCGTCGGGGGGGAAATGGGAAGAGTTTCCGCGAGCTCCCCCTCTGCCGCAGGCAGTCTGTCTCTCCCGCCCCGTCGCGGCTCCCCGCCGCGCGACGCGCGACGCGCGCGGGCCGACCGCTCCGGGGGCCGCGCCCCTGAGGGCCGCCCACCACCCCACGCGCGTCATGCGGAGGCGCGTGGAGCAAGGTGGCCGAGCGCGTCCTCTGTGGCGCCCGCGCTCCACCTCCGAGATCCTCAGCACCCCGCGAGGCGCCCTCGGGGAGGCAACCCCGAGCGCCCCTCGCGACATGCCTTCCGAGGAGGGTGGCAATACCTGGCCCGCCCAGTCCAGCGCAGCCGTGCGAATTGCGGTGGTGCTGGGCGGCGTGGCGCTGCTGGGTGGGCTGCTGGTCGCCGTCGTGCTGTGCTTCGGCGATCCGCGCGTCGCTGGGCGAGAGCAGGTCGGCGTCCGTGACCAGCAGCTGCTCGAAGATGTACTTCGGCGCTTGGGCTTGCCCTCGTTCTGGATGGCTACGATCACGGCTGCGGCGCTGTCGACCGCGTCTGCGCTCTCCTGCAACTTCTCGCGGACCTTGGCCCTCGCCTCGGCCAGCACCTGCTGCTCGAACGCCCAGTTGTAGGTGCGGGTCTCGGAGTCGAGCGCCTTCGCCTCTGCCGATCGCACCGCCTTGAACTTGGGCGGCTTCTTCTTCTCGGAGCGTTGAGCGCGTCGGCCACGCCCGTCAACTGCTTCGCGATGTCGCTGCCGTTGGCCAGCTTCAGCGTACCTCTGGACTCTGTCACAGTCCGCCGTGCCGCGGCGAGCTTGGCGACGCCCTGCTCGGTGGGGGAGGCGGCGTTGTCTTGCGAGCGTCCTCGACCTCCAGCTGCTGGGCTCGCGCCTCCACTGTTGCCGATGGGTTGTTGTCGCCGCCGCGGCCCCCCGCCGCGCGGCGCGCGCCGCGCGCGGGGCCGACCGCTGTAGGGGGCCGCGCCCCTGAGGGCCGCCCCCCTCTCCACGCGCGCCTCGCGGAGGCGCGCGGAGCAAGGTGGCCGAGCGCGCCCTCTGCAGCGCCCGCGCTCCGCCCCCGAGATCCTCAGCACTCCGCGAGGCACCCTCGGGGAGGCCGCCCCGAGCGCCCCTCGCGGCACGCCTTCCAAGGAAGGCGCGGGCGGGGCTCCTGCCCCGAGGGATCGCGCGGAGCTCCGCCGCTGCTCGCGCCTGCGCCCACCTCCTTGAGGGGGGTCCCATGGCTGAGCTTCGCTGGCACCGCCACTGTCGAACAGTGGGTCGCGCTGCGCAGTGGGTGGCAACGCAGCGACTGCGAGCGCGGTTTCTGTCGGAGCTTGCGCTGGCAGCGGGGCCATCATACGACTCTGGCCGCCCCCATGGGGGAGTCCAGGGGCGTCTTGACGTCATCTCGTTGCGATGTTCCAAGCCGCCTGGGAAGGACGTGGAGCCTCTGGGACGCCTCTTGCTTCCTCTAGGAGCTCTCTTGGGCCGTCTTGAAGCTTTCCTGGATGCCCAGTTGGCCGTCTTGGGGAGAGTTGGAAGGCGTCGCGGGCGCCTCAAGGCGCCGGGGGCCTTAAAGGGCGACAGCGATAAAATCAGCCTTGCAGCGTCAGAAGCCAAAGAAAACCGAAAAGGCGACAATGATTAGTCCGACGGTCGGACCTTTCACGACGACCCGTTTAGCCTGCCCGTGGTATTTTCTCGCCGTGCCGGAAACCTTCCTCGCGCCTTCTGTTGCGCCTCCTCATGTTCCTCCCCGTTGTCCTCCTCCTCCTTTTCCTCCTCATATTCCTCCTCCTCCTCGTGTTTCTCCTCCTCCTCCCCCCCCCCTGCTCTTCCGTCCATCTCCTCCTCCCCCTCCTCCTCCCTATCCCCATATCCCTCCTCGTCGTCCTTCTCTTCCGCCGCCCCCTCCTCCTTCTCATCCTCCTCGTTGTATGCGTTGTGATCCTCGTCCTCCACTTCCTCCTCGTCCTCTACTCCTCCTCCTCCCCCTCCTCCTTCTCCTTCTCCTCCTCTACCTTTTCCTCCGCCTCCCCCTTCCATCCTGCCCTGCCTCCTGGCAGAGGGCAAGTCGATGTTCCTCGGCGCCTTCGCCGCCAACATGCGCGCATTCCCCGATGGCCGAGCGCGAAGCCGCTGGGGCAACCCCGCGGCCCACACCGCTGGGACAACCCCGCGGGCCGCTGGGGCGCGGGGGCGAACCGTCGGGACAACCCCGCAGCAGCGCCCAGGCGGGAAGCAGCGCGAAGCCCACTCTGCCGCGAACTGCTCCGCCTAAGCCCCGGTGTTCGTAGCCCTCTGCTGCTCTGCTGCTGTCTGCAAGTATATGTTACTCTCTGCTGCTGTCCGCTGGGCTGTGCTTGTCTCTGCTGGTCTTTGCCGCTCTCTGCTGGCCTCTGCTGCTCTCTGCTGGCCCCTGCTGCTCTCTGCAAGCGCTGCTGCCCAGCTGGTGGTTGCAGGTAGTTGCTGCTCCGTGCGTGTCTCTGCTGCTCTCTGCTGCTGGACGGCGCCCTCTACTGGTTAATGCTGCTCATCTGCTGTCTGCTGCTGTCTGCTGCTCTCTGCTGGCCTTTGTCCTTCTCAGCTGTACTCTGCTGCTTTCTGCTCTGATATGCCCCTCTCTGCTGCTGCCTGGTCTGTGCTGTTCTCTGCTGGTCTCTGCTGCTCTCTGTTCTTCTCTGGTGTTATCTGCTGCTGTCTGCTGGTTTCTGCTCGCCTCTGCTGGTCTCTGCTGTTCGCTGCTGCTCGCTGCGAGTCTTTGCTGGTGACTGCAGGCAGTTGCTGGCGTCTGCGTGTCTCTGCTGCTCTCAGCTGCAAGGCGCTACTCTCTACTGGTCTCTGCTACACTCGTCTGCTCACTACTGCTGTCTGCTGATATCTGCTGGTTTCTGCTTGTCTCTGCTGCTCTCTGCTGTTGTCTGCTGCTGTCTGCTGCTCTCTGTTGCTCTCCGTCGTCTTCTGCTGCTTTGCGTATGCTGTTCTCGTGTGGCCTGTGCTGCTCTCTGCCGGTCTCTGCTGTTCTCTGCCGCTCTCTGCTGTGCCCTGCTGCTGTCTGCTGTTATCTGCTGCCCTCTGCCGCTCTCTGCTGCTTGGCCCGTGCTGTTCTCTGCTGGTCTCTGCGGGTCTCTGCTGCTCTCTGCTGTTGTCTGCTGATGCATGCCGGTCTCTGCTGGTCTGTGCTGCTCTCCGCTGTTCCCTGCTGTTCGACAGCGTGCTCTGCTGGTCGCTGCTGTTCTCTGCTGGTCTCGCTGCCCTCTGCTGCTTTCTGGTGCTCGCTGCTGCCCTTGGCTGCTCGCTGCCGCTCTCTGCTTTTCTCTTCTCTGCTGCTGCCTGCCGCTCTCTGCTGGTTGTTGCTGGTCTCTACTGGCCTTTGCCGCTACCAGTTGCTCTCTGTCAATCCCTGCTGGTGACTGCAGGCAAATGCTGCTCTCTGCGGGTCTCTGCTGCTCTCTGCTGCTGCACGCTAATGCCTGCTCGTCTCAGATGCTCTCGTCCGCTCTCGGCTGCCCCCTGATGGTTTCTGATGCATGCTACTCTCTCCTGTCGTCTGCTGCTTTCTGCTGCTCTCTGCTGGTCTCCGCTGGTCTCTGCGGCTCGCCGCCGCTCTCTGCTGCTCTCTGGTAGTCTCTGTTGCGCTCTGCTGCTGTCCGCTGCTGGATGCTGCTCCCCGCTGCCCTCCGTTGCTCTCTGCTGGGGCACCATGAGGGGGCCATGAGGGGGCCATGAGGGAGCCATGAGGGGGCCATGAGGGAGCCATGAGGGAGCCAAGAGGGAGCCGCGAGGGAGCCATGAGGGAGCCACGAGGGAGCCACGAGGGAGCCATGAGGGAGCCACGAGACACCCACGCGGACACAACAAGAGGCCACCCGATGTCAATAAAGGACAGCACGGGCACACACATGCACAACAACTGGCGGCACCAGGTTCTGCAGCCATGTTGGTTCAAACCGCGCGGGTGGCAGCGACGCCGACATTTTCTGCATTGCGGCCGTTCCAAGCGAGAACGTCACGTTTGCCCGAGCCAAGGCGGCAACTGAGAACCTCATACGTCGGGTTCTTATTCGCCCAAATATATTTGATGCGTCTGAGATACCCAATTACGTCCCAAACCTGTCAATACCCGCGCCCCCCATCGACCGTGCCACGGACACCTTCGGAAACACCGGAGCCAAGCACGTCATCGATGTTCTCGTTGACTACGATGGTGATGCGCCTAAAGAGTTGCCGACAAACTTGGCCAGCGCAAAGAGAATGGGCGAGGCACCTGCGCCGTTCAACGCGGCCACCCCTCTCGCAGCACCTTACAAGATGTCCTTGCATGTCATCAACCAGCCCAACGGCAAACGCGCCATATTGAAACACTTCGCGTTCAAGGACAAGCAGAATCGAGACGTGCTGATGAATGCATGCAGCGGCGTGGCCCGCCAAATCACGTGGGGCGTAGCTGCGTCACGCGCTAAGGTTGCCCTCGAGGTGCTTACTTGGTGCACGGGGAATCTGGGCGGGCATCAGGCCCGCGCCTTTGGCCTGAGAGCTCCCGCAGACAAAGAGGATCCTCTCGCTGACGACGATGCAGTCGACGATGGCTTCGAATTTATCATGGCTGAGGGGCCGCGCACAAACGTGAACCTCAAGCAGACGATTTGGATCACGGAGAACACGCGTAAGACCTCTGAGTCTCCGATCGCGAACTGGCCGAGAGCGCTCGCGGAGAAAGCTCTGTCCACGCTCGCCACGCAGCAGAGCTTAGCACAAACGCATTCCTTCATGCCGATCACGATGGAAGACGTCGACTCGCGGATGTTGACCACCCTTCGCAAGTTCTATCCAGCTTTGCGTCGGCGGGGGCTCGTCGTGCCCAGTGCCCCTGGAGTAGGCAAGACGCCCGTCGGCATTGCGTTGCAGATGTCGCCCAGCCGTGACCTGAACGAGCCTGGCGGGGCCTGCTGCAGGCTCTCGTCCGAAATGGATTTCTCCAGAGGTGAGTCAGGCCGCGTGGGTCGCGGCGGTATCTTCGACGATGGGGGCATATCCTGCCAGAGCGCCGAAGCCATGTAATGCTTCTTGGACGCGTCCCTCGTGGACGCAGCGACGCGGGCGCGATGAGGCGGCTGTCGTTGGGGCAAGGGTCAGCCCAGGCTGATCATGGGCAACGAACTTGATGTCGCCGCTGAGCCAGCAGGCAACCATCTGACAGTTCCCCACGGAGAGTTCATGGCCATCATCAACCTATGCCCCCAGGAGGAACGCTGTCGTCCGACAAAGAGGCCGCGCCCAAGAGGTCGAACTTCACGTCGCAGACGGATCATTGGTTCTACGAGCGGGCGGCGACGGAGGACGAGATTGATGCGCACTGGGTTCGGTTCGATCGCAAGCACTGGTTGCGCGAAGACCGCTATCAGAAGTGGGGGGGGGGCTTCAGCGACGGTGATCACCGCGTTCCTGCCGACTTCGAGGCGGGCTTACTCTGGGGGCGTCAGTGGGCGACGAACGCCCTGAACGCCCCCGTGCCAGTTCCCGTGCCACAGCCCGCCCCCATTGCGCCAATCCCAGTGTCGCAGCCAAGGTTTGTCAATATTCATCCGACGCCTCCTTCGTCGATGGCAACTGGCGGGGGGCAGATGGCGGCGCGCGCAGACGCCGACGGAATGTGCAGGACCTCCACGTTCGCGCAAATCGTCGCTCGCGCGCCCAACTCAGTCGGAGGTCGTCGCTCCATTTTCCCTTTGAATCTCCCGGCCGATCGCGAAGTGGATCTCGATGCTGAACCCGCGGTGGAGACTGCAGTGGAACGTGAACTGGGCAGCCGAGAGGAATCCGCCAGCGTCGCGGACGGCGTCGCCCCCCGTGCCAAGAGCGCTGAGGCCGAGGCGCATGTCAAGAAAAGAGCCTGGCGTTTTCGACAAGCTGAAGACCAAGAGCAACGATGCGCTGATGATCATGGACAGCGGCGAGGAGGCGTTCAATCTGATGGACGACCCGAGCTTCCAGCAAGGGCAGGCTCGCCTGATGGGAGACATTCAATCGCGGTCTCGCCCGAGCATGGCGCGCGGGGAAGCCGCCGCGGCAGGGCTGCCTGCATCTGCGCGCCGCCCCGAGCGAGATGACGGAGAGAAGAGAGTCGGCGCCCCGCTGGCAGGCAGTCTCAGCAACGTCGCTTCTGGTTTCCCGGACTATCTCTCAGGCGTCGCCAGGGCGGCCTTTCAGCCCGAGTTCAAGGATCTCTTTCATCCCGCGTCTCTTGCTGTTGTTCTCTCTCCGCGTCGCTTATGGCGTATGCCAGCTGCTCTTATTTATTATCGCAGCGCTTGTCCTCATCCGTTATGTTTCGTCGCCTCTCCAGTCTCTCTCCCAGGACTGCTGCCTCGCCGACGGCCTCAATAACCTTGGCTTCCGCATCCCGTGCACCAACCGAGTCCATCATCTCGGCATGCACCGCCCCCCCCCACCCCCCCCCCCCCCCCCCCCCCCCCCCCCCCCCCAGGACGCGCGTTGTCGCGTGCGGCGCGGGGCCAGGCGTAGTCGGCCACGCCGTGGCCGCCATCGTCGAACCAAGCGGGTTTGTCATCATGGACGGCGCCTCCAAGATGCAGCGCAGCGGCCGCGTGCCGTGGCGCGCGCTGCCGAGGGGGCGTGAGCACGTCAGAAGGGACGTGGTGGCACGTTCACAACTGACGCGCAGCCCTCAACGAGCTGCGCCCAGATGCTGCGTTGCACGAATGCAGGGTGCAACGTGCGAGGCTGATTGCAGTGGCCTCTACGTCCTAAACGCTGGCAGGCACCTGTGCGGCGAGCTAGCCGCGTGGTTTTTCTCGCGCGCGTCCGACGGCCATCGCGCGCGCAATGATGCAAAGCCACGCAACCGACGGCGCCTCTGATCGGGGCGAGGCGGCCGATCGAACCAACATATCATGTGTGTCTGTGGCTTAATTCTCGTCGATGCGACACATGGTAAGTGCTGTAAAAAATGAGTTTGCAAGCTTTTCCAATTCTCTGGCGCCGATCCACCTGCCGCGTCGACGCAGCTCGGCGCCAGAGGATGGGGAACTTGGAACCTTGAATATTACAACACTTTCTGAAACTTACAGCGAAGAGCGCGCAGGGGTGCAGCTTTGGTCATGGCCGCTAGACCCCGCAGGAACAAATCATATAGCAAGCTTGCCTCCAACGTTCATGTCAACCAGCCTTCGTTCCGTAGCCGCTTTGGCTCAGAAGGGCACAAGGCAATAGACGACCCCCACCGCGCGGGCGCGCCCCTTCTCGCCGCCAGCAGCGTCGCCATGCCAGGGCAGCGCATGGGCGAGCGAGGCGATCTGGGGAACTCGCCACTGACTCGCCACCCGCTCCTCTTACACCTGATGGCTTCCAGCAAGCCATCTGCGAGGACTGGTTCTCTTCCAACGCATCACTTGTCGCCAATGCGATGAAGAGCAGCATTGACTTCCCGAGTCGGTTCCCAGATTGTCCTGGCGCTCGGGGCATCCTACTCGCGAATCACTTCGGTCTCGTGAAGACGACTGAGGCTTGCCCGCAGTGCAACAAGCCAGCGAAGATGCGCAGTCGCAGCAGAGAGGGAACGTCGATGACTTTCCGTTGGAGGTGCCCGGTGGGTGGGAAATGCGGGCACGTGGATGAAGTGGTAAAAGGTGTGGGCCCGCTGAGCAGTCGTATATCGCCTCACTTGTGGCCAGCCTTCCTACAACTGAAGTCGGGCTTCGTCGCAATGACCGTTTGATCCCCATTGAGTCCGAGCTTCAGGATGGCTACAACATTCGCGGCAAACATGCGCTGCGAGATTGGGAAAACAATTATCAGAACGCCCTTCGAAAGGCTATGATACTGGGCGAGGGGGCAACCATCGGCGGGGAAGGAGAGGTTGTGGTCTTCGACGAGACGCAGATGGGCGTTCATAAAGGCATCGCAACACGCGCCGACAGGCATCGAGTGAGTCCAGACAATAAGCCAGTGCGGCGCAATCGAATGCCGCAGAAGCTGCCAGCGCGGACCATCTGGAAGCAGCTTGCTGCCGCGGGCGTCCTTCGACGGCCCGCCGCTGCGGGCGCCCTTCGGGGGCCGGCGGCGGATCTCGGGCGCCCTGCGAAGAAAGGGCCCAGAGTCAATGCCAGGTGGCTGTGGATGGCGGTGACCGCGGGGGAGGGGCGAGAGCGCTAAACACACGAGAATGGCAAGAAGAAGGTGACGTTTGCTTTCTTCTTCGGCGCGAAAATGCACCTGCAGGAACTCCTCGTGGTTTAGAATCCATGCCCAGAGTGATCAAGCAGCACATCAAAGAGCGGTCGTTCCTCGACTTCGACGGATGGAAATCATCTGAGGCAGCGGCCAAACGGCCCGGTTCCCGACGCACCGCCAGTGGACCACTGCACTGGTTGGCGGAATGGATCCACGGGTTTCCATAGCAATGAAATCGAGAGCGAAAGCTCTCGCATGAAGATGTGGCTGCGATCTCGCTACAGCAAGATGCCGATGCTGAATGCGGCTGCCAGCGATGCAGTCTGGGCTGCAGATCAAGATACCGAGCCCTGTGTGGAAGAGCAGCTGATGCCATTGCCTGATCTAGCCGAGTATGCTCATGATGGAAACTCGGGAAAAATCAATGGCAGTTGCAATAAAAGCGTTTGCTAATGCCCATGGCGGTGCTTTTAAACCATTTCGCTTCGGCTGGTTTTCTAATCGCGCATCGCGCATGCCTCCCTTGCGCGCCGGGGGGGCCAGCGCGGCGGGAGTTCACCGCTTGCGCAGCGCGGAGAATAAGGAAAAATGCCCATGCAAAAAAAGAGTGGGGGGCCCTTCTTCATATGTTTTTTTTTGTTTTTCCCGGAAAGGGCTTAAGCCCAGGGTTCTCTTTTAGTTTGTAAACTTAGTCCCCCGGTGCCTGCTTGAAGGAGGCCGGCGAATTGCCGGCGAATTTTTTCCCT